AATATTGGGGGGATTATTAGTGAATATTGGGGGGATTATTAGTGAATATTGGGGGGGGGATTATTGGGAATCCAGGGATCTGCCAAGCCTAGATCGATGCAGGAGAGCAGAGAGAGAGGGATCCCTGGGCTTGCAGCGAAGGAGGAGGAGGAGGAGGAGAAAGAGAAGGAGGAGGAGGGCGGCCTATGGGCATGGCGCAGCGGCCTTTCTGCCGGGCTCCACTCACCGAAGCTGGGGCGGACGCTGGCGATCTCGGCCATGGCCAACCAGGCGGAGGAGGAGCAGCAGAAGCGGCGGGGCCAGGCGAGGGCGCTCCCGGAGGCCCCCTTCCCCGAAGCGGCTTGCGGCGCTGGGAAAGGATGCTCGCCGGTTTCCCTGCCGAGCGATGCAGGACTGGTCCTTTCCCAGCGGCCTCGGCTCCGCCCCTTTCGAACGATGCCCGGACAAGCGCCGCCCCCTTTGGAACGGAGCCCGGACAAGCGCCGCCCCCTTTTCCCAACCTCGATTTAAGATGATAACAAAATAATAATAATAATACCAGGCTCGCTTGAGCTGCTGCGCGCTTTGGAGACGCCCCGAGAGTGACTGGGCAAGCTGGGCCGGGCGGTGGATTATGGGTCTCTGCGGAGTTTGGGTTTTATTATGCTGATTGCATGGTACACTACCCAAAGCTTCTCCCCCCCTCTTTATTAGAGAGAAGGAAGGTTGAGAGGTTTTATAATAAATGTATACTAAATTTTATAATACTAAAATTATTAGAAAAGAATAGAATAAAATGGATAATGGAATAGAGGAGAGATAGAAGAGGAGAGAAAAAAGAAGAGAAGAGAATAGAAGTTAGAATAGAATAGAAATCCCAATAACAATAGAATAAGAATAAAATAATGGAATGGAATAGAGGAGAGAGAGAATAGAATAGAAAAAAAGAGAAATAAAATAGAAATTAAAATAGAATAGAAATTACAAGAATAAAATAGAATAGATAATGGAATGGAATAGAGGAGAAATAGAAGAGAAAAAAGAAGAAAANTGCTACAAACATGTCAATGTAATCTTTTCAGCTCCACCTCCAAATCTCTCTCCTAACTTAGATGTTCTCAAGCTGTGCTACTTGGGCCTGAAGATACCATTACAGATCCAGGCCACTTAACCCACGGATTCTCAAGAACAGCCTTCTCTAACTCAGCAGGATCATTTCCCCACGTAATGTCTGCCACCCGTCTCTAAATCTAGCAGCTGCCAAGCCTCAGCACCTGGGCATGAACAAGGAAGCCAGCACCACCACACAGCCTCCTGCGCAGTGTCTGTAATGCTCATCCAGGATAAATACAGAATCTTGGGAAATGGGAAACTGGTTTATTATGAGTTCTTGTAATGGCAATAAGCATACCTTGAGGAACAGGATGAAGAGCTGCTACCAAAATAACCAATAAAAAAACCTGAATATAGGGCAGAAATGTAATATGCTAAAGTGCTTCAGACATGACTCTCCCTAGATATTATAAAGATGTAGGAAGGAAGGGGGAAAATGCATTCAAACTTGCAAGAATCTGTTACTTTAATAGCAATAAAATTAGCATTAGCATATGCAACTCTGATTTCCTAATACAGTTTAGCTTAAAGGGCTGACATCAACCTTGCAATTTATTACAAATAAACTGATCATCAACTGATTTATTGCAAATTATGCCTATGAGTAGGAATCTTCTCAAGTAACTTGGTTAGCACCAACACCTGCTTGGAGTTATCTAACAGTCAATGGAATTAGAGGGAGGTGGTTTGACTTAACTCACTCGTGGCTATGTAGGGATTCCAGACTGAACCCTCTTTTGATTCACTCCACCCCAGATTCTGTCACTCCTCCTACAGGCCCTGCATGAAATACTTTCTCAAATTACATTTATACTCAGATATTTTTCACCTGATCACTATCTTGGCTGTAGTTCAGTAGTGGGTTGCTGCCAGTCCTGACCAGTACAGTCATACTGGTAGTGGCCTGGAGTAGCTGAGAGCGTACCAGTATGGTGGCTCATCTGGACCACCTGCCCGCCCACCCACACTCTATAGCTGTATTTATGCTAAAAAGCACACTGCAC